TTCGCACCGGCAGTTGGTGCCCTATCGAATTTCATTTGTCGTCTGCCTCTTTTTTTTTGGCGGCCGTCACATTTCCAGTAACTATTTTGTAGCGCTTTTGAAACGGATATCGATACTTCCAGTACCACATAGTTTCGTTTAACGATTGTACTTCAGTGACGCAGTTTTGCGGAAACGGTGACAGCCACCAACTACCTTGCCGCAGTGGTTGCTGCTGACTCACGCAACCTTCAAGTGCATCATTATCTCAAAAAAGTGGATTATGGAGAAATTTTGGTTTTGATTGTGGCATTTAAATCACTTTGTGCAGGTTTATTTTAAATAAATAACGACGCGCACCAGACTAGCCGGTGCGATCATCCGTTTTGTGCAACGTAGCCCGTCGAACGATTGTCTATTAATGATTTTCACTGCTTTGTACTTTAGTCTACGCAAAAATAGTTCAAACATTGGAAAATAGTTAAAAATTTCACGCACCAGCGCATGAAAGCTGAATTCGAGCCTTTGAGGATGAATATCTTTCCGTGATTCCCGAGTTAATTGTTCGCCTGCTAAAATTTTCACGAGGCCGTAGGTGGTACCCGAGAGCGCAAGAACGCTGAATTTGAATGAGCAAGGTTGAGTGTGGGCAGGGGGTCATTCCCCTAAAATTTCAGCTCCTAGACTCTGTGGTTCCCGAGATATTAACTTACCTGTGGAAAAATTTCACGGGACCGTACGTGTTACCCGCAGGCAAGGGAAGGCTGAATTTGAATGGGCAAGATTGAACGTGAACAGGGGGTCATTACTCTAAAATTTCAGCCTCCTAGACTCCGTGGTTCCCGAGATGTTAACTTATCCGTAAAAAACTTTCACGGGGCCCTATGCGTTACCCGCGGGTACGGGGAAGCTGAATTTAAATTTGCGGGGTGGGAAACGTTCCCATAAATTTTCAGCTTCCTAGCATTCGTGGTTCTCGAGTTAAAAGTTGCGGACAAGTTGCTGCGGACACACACACACACACACA